TTGTTTGCAATGGGAACAAATTTTAGATACAATGGTTAAAAAATTTTCACTTTTATTGACAACTTCCATGCAAAACAAAGTCAAACGAAAAATATTCGGTATGGTAAAAAAAAATTTTTTTCAAATTTTTTTTTCAAAATTTTTTTTTTTTACAATTGAAACAAATTTTAGACCCAATGGTAGAAAAAATTATCACTTTAATGGACAAATTCCATAAAAAAAGAAGTCAAATGGATACCAAACTTTCAACATTTTCCATGAAAAATTATACCAATCAAACACAATTAATTACAATTCCCAGTAAAACATTTTTTAGGAAAATCAATTCCATGTAAAACATTTTCTTTCCACCCATTTTTCACCCTTACAATCAAACGGACCCTAAGAGAAGATTGAACTGTGAAAGAAAATAAGATAAACCAAACAAAGGTTTGGGATCTAGCACCTCTAGCAAACGTTTGAAAGGTTTGGAACTCCAGGTACTTGAAATCGGTCAAAATTCCATTTTCACAACCTTCAAAGTTTTGGGATCTCAAGTTCAATTTATCCTTTATTTTTTGCCATTTAGTTTGTTCGTTTTAAATTGAAATAAGAGTAAATTGTCATTTTACACATAATTTGACCTTTCGATGATCAAAATTACGATTTGAGTGACAAAAAGGATCTTAGATGCATACGTTTGCAAGTTTTGAGGCTCCGGGTGCTAGAAATTAAAAGTTCGGGATTCTAGGTGCAATTTGTCCTTACTTTTTGAAAGGATCGTTTAGATTTTCAGACAAAGTGAATAACGTTTGAGCAAATCTTAGAAGTTTGAGTAGAGTTAGATTAAGCGAGGACTAATTAAGCATCCTATAGTTAGATTTAAGCGTTGACAAATAAGAAGTTTGGTTGTGCATTGTCCAAAAAATATATTCTTTCTTCATCTTTCAAAAACACTCATTATCCCTGAAACGTGTGTGTGTTTTTTTTTTATCAAACATCCAGCCGAAGTCATTAAAATCCAGCTGGATGGCCATGCTTCATTTGTTGAAATAATTTAGTGGGCTAATTCATAATTAAGTAGTGGACTAGCCCTAACAACGCATTCTATAGAAAATGACAAAATTAATCCTTCGTCGGTATGTTGACTATTGTATTGGATTGGAGAGTATAATCATAGCGATCTAAGTTTAGGAAAACTCATGAAGTGGGATCGTGAACCCAACCCACAATTCGTTTCCTTGTTAAGTTTGGTTAAAAAGGAAACTAAAGTGAAAAAGAGATATGACTGGTAGTTGATTTAAATGTAGAGAGTTTTGAATTGAAGTAGTTTGTCGTTTTACTTCTTTATATACGGGAATAACAATATGATGATTTTTAGCTAGGAACACATCGGAAAATCGCTGAAATTGAGAAAAACAAGGATTTTGTCATCCTATTTGTACACTTTGATTCAGTAGGGATAGTTGTTATAGTCTCTGTTTAGTTTATCTAAAAATCAAATTTTTAATAGATTTTGATAAAAGTTGATGAAATGTGCATTTCAAAAGTTGATAAAATATGTGGCAAAAAAAAATGAAAAATTGTTAATTCCATAAAATGTGTAGTTGAAAATGAGTTTTTAAAAAAATAAATTTTAAAAAATAGAAGGCAAAAAAGAGCTTAATTTTTTGTTATCGCTTTTGAAAATAAAATTAATTACATTATCAATTATGGGCCTCTGAAACAAGATCCAACTATGCCGGGATTGGTTACACCTAATGGAGGATGGGCCACGTTGAGCCTCGATGGCCCAACATATTTGACACTCACACGGCAACTCCCCGATTGTAATATCACAGCAAGCAAAGATACCGTTCTTCAGTAGCCAAGTTGTTTGTAATAGGACGGGACACGGTCTGGTCCGATCCGGTTCGATTCTCTTTACAATCGAATCAAATCAAAATTTTCGAGTATTTAATAAATGGAACAATTAGGTCCAAATATAATTATGGAACAGTTCGTGTTCTATTCGATTCAGTTCGATTCTATTTGGTTCCGTACCATAATTAAATTTTTTAACATTTACAACAATATTGCATAAATACAACTAATGACATGTCCATTCATAGCTTTTACAAATTACTTGCACTATTTAACATTAAGAGTGTTGAATTCCATCTAGTAGGAACATCTAAAATAACTAGTTTTTTGCATACAATCTTTTCCCTTTTAATACAGCATTTAAATTTCATCAACCAGGAAGGAAATGATCGAAAATATCGAATGAAAGTATAAATGAAAAGGGAAGGATAAAAACTTTAAAATGTCTAGATCTTGGGCTAACAATGAAATTAATAATTAGACCAAAAAATTAAAACAAAAAATTTGAATTTAAAAATTGGGTTGGATTGGGCTAGCTAGGCATGGACTTGGCTTAGGAGTTAATTTGCAAATTTGTTTTAAAAAAATTAAAATAATTTAATTAATTCAATATAAAAAAATAAAAAATTATTTAAATTCGGTTCTTGGTCTAGAACCGAGAATCGAACCAATATATCGGTTCTAGATTTAGATATTCGTTCGGGTATTTAACTTATGAAGAACCGTTCAATTCAGTTCAGTTCGGTTCGGTTCAAGAGTTTTGTCCCGCCCTAGTTTGTAAGCTTAGCCCCATTTTTGTGAGAAAATATATTTTGAAATTGTGATTTCTTTTTAATGTGTTGTTGAAAAATAAGAATTTTTTTTTCGATTTACGTGTATAATTATTTTATAGGAGAATGTATGGTTGGCCAAAAATTATTTCAACAATGCTTTCAAGAACATACTTTCATGTTGAAGTCAACATCGACCTTAATCAATTTTCTAATTTAGTTAAAAAAGTTGATATAAATTTAAATAAAAGTCAACAATTAATTTCAATCACACATAGTATGATATTCACAACTTATATCAACTTTTAAATTGCACGTTCAATATTTTTTATTAAAATTTATTAGTTCTAATTTTTAACTAAATTAAATTGCTGCTTATATTCCAGAAAGAGCACCTAAAGTTGCTGGTAAAAGTGAGTTCAGTTCACCAACTTTCAACCATACTAATAATTTATGTGTACATTTTCATCTCACTTTGGTAAACTGATAGATAAGAAATATTCATCACTGCACCTTTTTTTTTCCTCCAACTACAAAATCATGAATATTCAGGGTGTGTTTGAGCCACATTATTTTGGAAAAATGTATTCTGAAATAGTAAATTGATGGAGAATGTGTGGTTGAAAAGGAAAAAAAATTATTGATGTGATGGAAAATAATATTCTATTGAAGAATGTGTGGTTAAAAATGAGTAAAAGAATGAAAATGAAAATTTTAATATGTACCAAACAGAGTTTAAATTATAAACCTTTGCTTTAATATACACATTTACAGTTTTTGAAGGGTACTTTTGCGAAGCCCATATGTCATGCACAATTTGTACATGTCCAGGTAGATATTAGTTAGCGTAAGTTCAAACTAACGTCCTTACAAGTTACACGTGTTAAAAGTATTAAATTCCGGATTCTAGATTAAAAGAGTGTTTGGTAAAGATTAAAATCGAATTAAAATTCAAAAACTAATCGTTATTATTAACTTTTACTAGGTGAGTGAGACTCGGCAACTACTATATTTTCAATTTTAATATCTACCAAACATGTCCTAAACTTATTAAAGAAGTAACCGAATCCTAATGCTTCGTGACCGACGTTTATTTCATCAATTAACTCAGATCTAAATAATATTGACCCATTCAGATGAAATTTTCCTAAACATTCATAACCACCACTGCATTTTAATCTAGGTGATATAAATTAATAATTTGGAAGGAGAATGTACGGCTTTATACTAAAATCTTTAAAACGCAAGAAAAATATCTAGATTCTAAGACTGATGCAGATATCATATCATAATATTGAAAAAAGAAAAGGAGAAGAAAAAGCTTCTTCTCAGATCCTAAACCAAATTATGTACAACTGAAAACTAAAAGGAAAAGGAAATGAAAATAGACAAAAAAAAACGACGAAGAAAGATAACGGAAAAAAGGAGGAGCCACTTCATAATATTGAAAAACAGACATCTCACTGTTCCTGTGTTCCATTAATTGCCAACGGAGATCGGCCTCTGTGCTAACCCTAGGGGCGATCTGGAGCGCTTCTGTCGGGCGATTTCATGAACAACCGGTCTAATCTCCGGCTGCTGGAGCGCCGGGTGATTGATCTTCTCCATTTCTTGCCTGATTTTCCGAACTTGGCTATGAATCGGTACGGCGCCGATGGATCCATCTCCTTTGTTAATTTTCTGCTCCATTTTAGGCGTAAGCTTTTCTGCAGAACCACACCTTGCACGCCTAACAACTTCTGATGCGTACTTATATACGGAGTGGATGGCAAAAGGCACACGATTTATTCATGAATTGGTCCAAGGGGATAGTGGTAACCTTTATGAAAATTACTAATATGACCTGTAACAGTACAAGATATTTGTAATTAGAATAATCTATGACCACATTTAAAGTTCTACGTTACGTGGCATGGTCCTATTGGTTTGTTCAATTATTTTAGATCTGAATTAAACGTATTTAATAATTAAACTAAACTGGTTAAACGTTTACAAATGCAAATGAAGATAAAGTGAACGTTATACAAATTAGGTGACCCAAAGACGCGCAAATATACGTAGGCAGTATTTTAAAAGGCTTGCTTAGACGGAGCTCGGGCTTGAAGAAAAAGGCTCATTTCGTTTCATGTCTAAGCGATATTTTCTTGTTTTGAAGTCTAGCTTAACGAAAGGTCCATTCATTGCTAAAGCTTTAAAAACGAAATAAGTCCCAACAAAAATAAGAAAACATCGTTTATATCTAGACTCGTAAAGTTTGAGATTTGACCTTCATGCTTTACTTCTTTTAGAACCTCGTACATAGGTCGGGTATGACCACGTGATAATGATATTAATGAATTTAATTTAGTTTGAAAATTTAATAACTTTTAATTAAATTTTGCTATTTTTGTCTATTGGGTCGTGTCATATCTCATATTTATGACTTGTTTAATATGGGACGGTTTTGTTATATTAAGCCCCTGTTTGGGGTGCATTATTCTATCCTATAGTAGAAAGAAAGTTACCGTTGGAGCAGGGAGTAGGACCCACATGTGAGACAATTAGTCAAAAATGGTGGGTGAATTTCAAAACTAACGGCTCTTTTTTTTTTCTTTTCTAAAAATGAAGGAATAATTTGCCTCAAACAGGCTCTAATATAGGACGAGAGAGTAGATGAAATACTTTTTAAATTTTAGTAAAAGATAATTAATTAAAGTCCTCATGGGTAGGTTTTGTTTGATAGATGTATTGTTGTGCCAAAAAATAGTGATCTTTTTCATAATAATAATTATTACATATTTAATTTAATTAGATTGGAAGTTAAGTAGTAGTTATCCAGGCAAGTTCCTTTAGGAATATAATTGATTACCAGACAAATAATAAAATATTAACCTAATATTGTTAATAAACACGTTTAGGTTATTTTGCAGTCGCGTTAGACTTTTCCATTGTGTATCAAACTATAAAATTGGTTGACCAAACAATTAACCGACTTTTGGAAACAAAACCAACGAGAATACGTCTCCCCGTTGAAGAACAAGGGCATTTCAGTTAATTAGACCAAATCCTGGGGTCAAATACAAAGCAGTAGAATGGCAATTATATTCACCACACAATTTTTATTAGTAGTATTATATTTTAATTTCTCTTAAGGTACTCAATCTTCACTCATTGTAAAAATTTTGTCCATACTTCTTTTTATTTTTAACATTTTACTTAGTAAATTTGTCTTTGATGGTGGTTTCAATTAAAATATTTTTTTTATTTTTTGTGCTTTAAAATGCGAGAAAAAAATTTGTTACACTTTTGTATTTATTACTTTTGATTGGATAATAAGTTATTTTACGTCTCTGAACGAACTTATTTGATAGAAACTATTATAAGATATGAAAATTTGCTAATTAATAAAATTTTGAAAATAAGAATGCATAAAAATAAAATAAAATTAAAATGTGACGTAACAAATAAAAAATACAGAGTGAATGCAATTATCCAATGTGGAAGGCCATTTAAGTAAATTAGTACAAAAGTGGAAGGCCGTTGCGTTTGTTGACGGTTGGCTGCCGGCAAGCTTAAAAGTGAAGCCAGAACAGTGTGACACGTGGGAGAAATTCATAGGTGGATGGTGATTTTATATACTCGATTAAGTATTTATACGTGGCCAATTATCTATACATGCTAATTTGTACTCTAATTACGCCACCTTTGATTGGAATTGACGTTGAAGCAAAATTGAGTTGTGTTTAATTACAAGAAAGAGACTTTGTTATTGAATAATGTACGTACCATTGGAGATATATCACTGGTCCATGTACCTTTTACATGATATATCATTCGTATATTTAATATAATAATAATTATTATTATTATGTTATGATGTTCGTTCTATTAATGTCATGAGTATTGTCGTGACTTGTGTTAAGTCCTTGTCTGATCCTATTATTTTCAGAATAGATTTTTCTTTATCTTATTTTCAATCACACATTTTTCAATAAAATAATATTACACGCAATTTCAAAATTTTTCCTTAATTTTGAACCACACATTCTCCATCATTTTAGTATTACAAAATGCATTTTCAAAAGAAAATATGGCTCAAACAAATCCTAAATAATGTTATTCGATAAGATAATTTATCAATTAATGATACTTAAACCCCACTCAAATTGATGTTAAACGTCTATGATGTTAAATAACATTGCATTTTGTTATTGATTGTACAATTGATCGACCACAATAATATTTCTTACATTTTTTCTAATTTAATTAAGTCGTTAGGACTTTTAACAAATAAGAAAAGCATAATGCTAAAATAGGATCAAGCAAATAATTTTTTTTTCCTAGTATTGAAAAGAGTATTAGTTAAAAAAGCAATACTATTCAACACTATTGATGTCAAACTCCAGTCTATGTGACAACTATACCTGTTTGATGACCATTATTTTGAGAAAATTGAGTTTGAATAGTGATTTTTTGGAGAATATTTGGTTAAAAAAAAAAAGAAAAAAATTTGGGTTTACACGCAAAGTGACATCAAGCAGCACCTTCACTTCAATTACAGTATAATGTATCCATAATTAATTACAAACACAGATGATTACATTATAAATTTGATTTAAAATCAAGTTTAGAAAGTCATATATTGAAACCCTTTTACGCAAGGAAAAGGTTCTTCTCAAAGCTAGTTCTACATTTTAAAGTCTGTAGTAATTTGTTAACGTCTTCCCGTCCAACTCCTTTGAGAAGAATCGTTTTATGTACTCTGCAAATGTGAACTGCTGGTAATGTGCCGGTTTTTCATCGGATAACAGCTCCAATAAAGGTCCAAATACTTTATCTCTTAGGCTCGGATTGAGGAAAACTGCCACAGATACGCGAGGTTCTTTACACGGGTTGGCCAATACTCTGTGCTCCACACTTATGTACTTGTCATTCGACATGATCTGCAATAGAGAGAAATTATTAACACAGAAAAATAGTTTAATGTTTTACGAGAAATATATAATATATCAAATCAAGTGAGAATCATTTTATGGCCAATTTTAAGTCTGATACAATTCAATTATTTCAATAATACCTTACTTTTTATTTTTCAATATGTAATAAATATTACAAAATCTTTGTCATGTATGAATATTGTACTATTAATTCTCAATTAATTTTACATTCACATTAATCTAGACCCCAATAAACTTTATCTACATGAATCTAGAGTTATTAAAAGTAAATTAATTTCTATTAATGTATTTAGGAATTTTAATGGGTGTTTTAATTCATGTATTAACATTTAATTCTTATGTACTGATAAGTGCGTTTTTACATACTTATTTTACTGTTAAAACATGAGTAATTGTTGATTAATATGTTGGAATATAACTTAATTCTATGCAATTCATATTTTGCAGGACAAAGTGATGAATGTAGCGAAATTGAGGAAAAACGAGTGACAAATTTTCAAATTGGGGAAAGTGAAAGTTCAGGGACTAAAGAACAAATACTATAAACTTGTTTCCAACCTTGTGATGAAGATTCAAGAGCGTTAGAGGTCAATTGGATGAAAAAAGGAGTCAAAGTAATGAAATATAGTCAAAACACGATCATAAATAAACTTTCAAATTGAAAAGTTTTGCACATGTTTTCAGCCTCATATTGAGACCAGTTTGACATGGAAAACGATCGAATTTGAAGATGGTCTCTGAAGCAAAGTTGTAGCCATTTGAGTTAACTTTCCAACGCAACTTGAATCAGCTCAATCTGACATTAGGAGAGAAAGTTATGGATCAAACACGC